AAAAAAGAGGGTATGTTAGGTCCATTCGGCACTGCTTTGAGGCGGAACGCGTCCAATCGGTACCGCTTCTAATTGGAACGCGTCGAATCGGGATCGTTCTATTGGTCGACGTTCAAGTGGGCATCACTCTGATCGAACATTTACTGTCGCAGTCAAATCGATACGATCGATCAATGTAACACAAAATTGTAGTCAAAAATGTATTCTTCTTTTCATCACGCACCTTTTTATTCTACTTCCGATGACGTATCTTATGAAGAAAGGAAAAAGGAGATTTGTTGTCTGAAATCGCAACAATGACATACACACGGATGATATTAATTTGTACCTGTATGAGAAAATAATTGGAAAGGCACGATACTCGAGGCGATCTCAATCAAAGGCACGTGTAATTGATAGACGATGGTGACGATGATTGATGACTGATAGTGTCTCTTCAGCAATGAGTAAGCACTGCAGTTTGTCTCTCAATTTTTATTCAACATACTGTATAACCGAACGATTTAATAAGTGTACACAGCGTGGATCAAATCCCAAGCACGTGATTGGAGAAATTATGAATTGAAACAATTTTGAACGCGTTTATACACTTAATGTTAGTGGATTTTACTTGGAGTTCAGTTTTATTTTTTGTGGGGAATGCTGGTTTTTGAAAATTAACGAGTTTGTGGAGGAAGGAAATTCTTTGAAATTTTTGAGATTTTAGGTATTTTTGAATTTTTAGGTTTGGAAATTTTTGGAGATTCAAGTTTTAGTTTTATGGTTTTTCAATTTTTTCGTTCTTCAATTTTATGGGTTAATTTGTCTTGTTTATAAATTTTTTAGTCTATCAATTTGCATAGTTAGAAATTTTCAAGTCTGTCAATTTTCATATTTAAAAATTTTTTAATCTTCCAATTTGCATAGTTAGAAATTTTGAAATACACCAATTTGCATATTTAGAAATCTTCAAGTCTATTAATTTTCATAGTTAAAAATTTTCAAGACTATCAATTTTCATAGTTAAAAATTTTCAAGTCTATCAATTTTCATAGTTAAAAATTTTTTAGTCTTCCAATTTGCATAGTTAGAAATTTTGAAATTCACCAATTTGCATATTTAGAAATCTTCAAATCTATTAATTTTCATAGTTGAAAATTTTCAAGTCTGTCAATTTTCAAACTTAAAAATTTTCTAGTCTATCAATTTTCATAGTTAAAAATTTTTTAGTCTACCAATTTGCTTAGTTAGAAATTTTGAAATTCACCAATTTGCATATTTAGAAGTCTTCAAGTCTATTAATTTTCATAGTTAAAAATTTTCAAGACTATCAATTTTCATAGTTAAAAATTTTCAAGTCTATCAATTTTCAAACTTAAAAATTTTCTAGTCTATCAATTTTCATATTTACAAATTTTTTAGTCTTCCAATTTGCATAGTTAGAAATTTTGAAATTCACCAATTTGCATGTTTAGAAATTTTCATAATTAAAAATTTTCAAGTTTAATTTAAATACTTAAGAATGTTCAAATCTACCAATTTCCATCTGTAGAAATTTGCAAACCCTTAAATTATCAACCAAAGAAATTATCCTTCACTCAAGATTCAAGTGATCCTTCATAACTTCCAGCCCCGCCCCAGAGCCCCCGGCGCAGGGAAATACCAAACTACTGCGCAGTAAAGTTCCAAACTTCTGCGCAGCAAAGCACCAAACTTCTGCGCAGTGACAGACCATACAAAGCTTACTAATCCACTTGCATTAACCGACTTTCAGTGAATCCACTTTCCTCCTCTACTTTCAGTAGAAAGAATTCTCTATTAAATCTAAAAATTGTAACCAAACAAATCCCAAAAAGAACAAAAACTGAACCCCATCGTTTTACCACGTACAAATAGAAGAACAGCGAAGAACGATAAGATGAAAAATAATAATCGGTACAAATTAATAATGACGACATTCGACATTTCATCGTGTGGTGCGTGCGATTTGATTCGTACTGCATGAATGTTCTCGAAACGTTGCAACGCAGTACAATTGATAATAATTGAGGTACAGAGGCCAATGTGCGCTTCGATCAAATAGTCGTTTTGCGATTCGGATCAGGAATAGTCGCCTTAATCGTAGAAGATCGGTAGAACGTTTTATAAGGCTGATCGTTACAACGCAACGGATAATTAATTCATTCGGAAAGAAAGATAGAAAAATATACATACGTGTCTCTAAAATACGATAAAATATTTTTCTTGTCGTTACAGATTTCGTTCGTTTCGAACGATACTTTTATTTTTTTTCGTTGCCACGATGTTAAACGTAATTCGGAGATCGGAGAAAAGAGAGACCGGTTGAAACTGAAGTCGATCTTCGAGACACAATAAAACGATACATTGTTCGCGTTTTTAACGTCAAAACGATCCACGCTATTGTCGTTTTTGTCGTTCTATACGTGTCGCTATACGGATATCTTGGTCGAAGGATCGAAAGGTTAACGATTAGTTTCTTATCGGTAGTAATTAGTGTACGTTATTTAAATATTAATGACTTTTTCGTTAGGAGGTCGACGCGGTTAGTGACGTAGCTAGGACTTTTGTCGGGGGTGTATCGGTATCTGGGGGATTTTTGGAGAGTTGGGGATTTCAGAGTTTGGGGATTTGTGGGTTTGGGGGATGGGGAGATGGATATTTTGGTATTTGGGGATTTGGAGGATATTTGGAGATTTGGGGATTTGCAAATTTAGGGATTTGGAGATTTGGAGATTTGCAAATTAGGGATTTGGAGATTTGGGGATTTGCAAATTTAGGGATTTGGAGATTTGAGGATTTGGAGATTTGGGGATTTGGAGATTTGGAGATTTGGAGATTTGGAGATTTGGAGATTTGGAGATTTGGAGATTTGGAGATTTGGAGATTTGGAGATTTGGAGATTTGGAGATTTGGAGATTTGGAGATTTGGAGATTTGGAGATTTGGAGATTTGGAGATTTGGAGATTTGGAGATTTGGGGATTTGGAGATTTGGGGATTTGCAAATTTAGGGATTTGGAGATTTGGGTATTTGCAAATTTAGGGATTTGGGGATAAGAAAATTAGGAGTATAGGAAATTGAAAATTAGGAAATTTAGGGATTTGCAAAATGGGGGTTGGATATATCACAATTTGGGAATTTGAGAATTTGGGAATTTGGGAATTTGGGGATTTAGGGATTTAGGGATTTGGGGATTTGGGGATTTGGGGATTTGATAATTTGAGGATTTGGGGATTTGGGGATTTGGTAATTTGAGGATTTGGGGATTTGAGAATTTGGAAATTTGGGTATATACAAATCTAGGAATTTAGGAAATTAAGGAATTTGCAAAATGGGGGTTTGGTTATTTGACAGTTTGGGAAATTAGGGATTTGGGGATTTGGAAATTTAGAAATTTGGGAATTTGGGTAATTAGTAATTTGGTAATTTGGGAATTTGGGAATTTGAAAAATTGGAATTTTGGGAATTTGAGTATTTCACCATATAGGAATTTAAAAAATTGAGAATTTGGAAATTTAGAAATTTACAAAATGAGGATTCCTACATTTGACAATTTGGGGATTTTGTGACATAGAAATTTGTCTTTGAAAATTTGAAAATTTAAAAACTTAAGACTCATTAAATTTGTAAATTAGAATATTTGAATACATGAATATTTGTATGAATTATTATGAATATAAGAATCTAAAAATTGAACAATCAAAAGATTCAGTAACTTGAATATTTTAGAATTTGCCTACTTAGAAGCTTGAAAATACAAGAACTTACAAGTTCCACAATTTGCAAAAAACTAACACTAAAATCTAAAAATCAAGACAATAAAATTTAGAAATACACGAATCGAAAAATTGTACTACTTGAAAAGAATTGTACTACTTGAATATTTTTAAATTTAAAACATTAGAAAGAGCTTCCATTAAGTAGAAAGAGCTTACATTAAGTATGAAAATTTAAAAGATACATGTACTTAAAATAGTCCCTATATTAAGAGATACCAGGTGCACCCTAAACTAGTTACGTCACTGCCGCGTTCTGTCGCAATGAAAAAAGAAAACTGATGAAAATCAAACGTGAACAATGAGACTAGTTCATAATGAAACGACGTTTGAATCGTGTATGACTGTGTGAAGCGAAAAATGGTTCTGATATACAAATAAATTAATGAACGTTAAAATCAAGAGACGGCGCTGAATCGGTCCCGTCGTGACGCTTCCCGAAATTCTTCGGTTAATGTACAGGGTGTTTAAAAAGTTGCGACCGAACTTCGGGAACTTATGATATTCGTGAGCAAAATTATTTGTAGTTATGTTTTAATCAATTAAGTATATGTTAGTATACTTGTACATATATATTGTATATATACTTGTATATATAGATATTAGTGTAATTAAATTTTTATGTATTAAAGAGTTTTTTTTGTGATTAGTTTAGGCCCTTCTCGAACGAAGTCGATATAAAAAATATTTTACGAGTCAACAGAGATAAACGTAGGAAACATAGACAATATAATAAATTAACATTTGTAAAAATAGATAACATAGACAATAATTAACTTATACTAAGAGGAGTGAATAGCGAGGCTATTGGACAGTAGTAAGATTAGGGCAATCGTAGCATTTGCTGTTTATTTTGCAACCTTGTAATATTTCTTAAATTAAAATTGTAATTATAGAAGATCAGAAATATTCAATTTAGATAATTAATATAGGAATATTTAATTAAGTTAAATTTTATTTATAATAAAGTTTTAAATTTAAGATCTTAAAACTTATTAATAATAAAATCAAAGATATTAAATATTAAATTTAATCAATAATAAAATTAAAAATCTTAAACGTATAATTTTATCAATGATAAAATGTAAATTTCTTTAATGTCAAATGAATTTAATTTTCAATAAATAAATTCGGGGTTAAATTTGTAACAATAAACATAATTTTAACCCTTAAAAACGCGTGGTAGTAGTTTTGCAATTTTAAATTTAATTACAGTTCGTAATTGAATTTTTGTAATTTTAAATTCAGTTACAATACATGGTTGAACCTTGTTAATTTTAAATTTAGTTACAATATATAGTTGAAGTTTTCTAATTTTAAAATTGAGGTCTACACCTCCATTTTTCATTCCTTTCACGAATACCATATGTAAATGAAACTCGGTTGCAACTTCTTTTCTGAACGCCCTGTAGATACACATATATGTAGATATACTTACAGATATATACATATACGTATATGTATATTAATTGGGTGTTTGATTCGCGTTAATCATTTTAATATCTACAGGCTAAGGGCAGTATGTACAGGGGACAAAGGAATGTGAGATTTATCTTTTCCTCCGTTGCCGCTATACGACAGGCCAGCAGTAATAATCTATTCGATATAGATATCTTCTACCGGGAAAGCAGTCTCGATGAACTTCGTGTAGAACCGATGGAAAGCACGCCTGTGAACAGAATAATTATACTCTTACAATTTGCAAAAAATTAATTGTATACAGGGTGTCTCACAACTAGTGGTCCCTGAAATGGTAGCTGACGCGATTCTGAATAAGATTTCCCTTTGCAAAAATGGGGTTTGAAGCTCCGTTTTTGAATTATTAAGGAAAAACACGGACCAATCAGAGCGCGAGATTATTACGCGTTGGATTACTACACGTCGAATATCCACGCGTTGGATTACTACGCGTTGGATATCCACATGCTGGATTACTACGCGTTAGATTACCACGCATTAGATTCCTACGCTTAGAATTACCACGCGTTGCATTATTACGCGTTGGATTACTACGCGTAGAATATGCACGCGCTAGATTACTACGCGTAGGACATCCACACGCTGTATTAGTACGCGTTGGATTACTACGCATTGGATTACTCAAAAATGGGGTTTGAAGCTCCGTTTTTGAATTATTAAGGAAAAACACGGACCAATCAGAGCGCGAGATTATTACGCGTTGGATTACTACACGTCGAATATCCACGCGTTGGATTACTACGCGTTGGATATCCACATGCTGAATTACTACGCGTTAGATTACCACGCATTAGATTCCTACGCTTAGAATTA